ATTCAATTTCTGAACATGAATCTTAAGGAAATAATCTGAATTACCGCACACAAAAAAACTGTATTAAATGAAACTGGAAAGAATCTAAATGTCCACAAAGGGACTATCTAGGACAAAAGATAAGAAAACTATCTTTTATTTATAGAACCAAATATTGAATGGCTATATACAATGTTGCTTACTTCATAAATACAGAGAAATAAAATCATGTCAATAAAAATGTATTTTATAACACACAAAATTATATACAGAATAGTTTTTGTTTTTTTTTTTTGAGATGGAGTCTTGCTCTGTTGCCCAGGCTGGAGTGCAGTGGTGTGATCTCTGCTCACTGCAAGCTCCACCTCATGGGTTCATGCCACTCTCCTGCCTCAGCCTCCCGAGTAGCTGGGACTACAGGCGACCACCACCACGCCTGGCTAATTTTTTTTTTTTTTTTTGTATTTTTAGTAGAGATGGGGTTTCACTGTGTTAGCCAGGATGGTGTCGATCTCCTGACCTCGTAATCCACCTGCCTCAGCCTCCCAAAGTGCTGGGATTACAGGCGTGGGCCACCGCGCCTAGCCCAGAATAGTCTTCTAACTTTGTTTTCTTAAATGTATAGAAAAAAGACTGTAGGTGCAATGGCTCAAGCCTATAATCCCAACACTTTGGGAGGCTGAGGCAGGCGAATCACCTGAGGTCGGGAGTTCGAGACCAGCCTGACCAACATGGAGAAACCCTGTCTCTACTAAAAACACAAAATGAGGTGGGCGTGGTGGTGCATGCCTGTAGTCCCAGCTACTCAGGAGGCTGAGGCAGGACAATTGCTTGAACCTGGGAGGCGGAGGCTGTGGTGAGCCGACATTGTGCCATTGCACTCCAGCCTGGGCAACGAGTGAAATTCCGTCTCAAAAAAAAAAAAAAAAAAAAGAAAAAAGACCGTAAACAATGTATCCACTGTTATCACACCTATCTCTGAATGGTGAGTTTACGGGGGTTTCTTCAGATATTTTTGGTATGACCCAAATTAATTTAAATGAATTCATATACTTGTAAAGCCAGACAACAAACCTAATTACAAAACCTATAAACCTCTCAATGGCTCTCCATATTAACTAAAGTACAAACACATCACTTTGGTGCCCAAGGCTCTCTATACTATATTTCCACTGTATTTAGCCATGTGTGCTTACCCTCCTTAAAGTTATCAAAGCAGACTTCCTACTGCTTCCGAACATGCCCCATACCTTTTGACCTCAGTGCCTCAGTTCAGACTATTCAATCTGCCTGGATCACCTTCTCTACCTGGCTGAGTTCTACCATCTTCTGAAGTTCATGAGAAATACCACCTTTTTAATGAATGTTTTTCTAACTCTGTGCTAAACTAGCCACCCCATCCAGATGTTATTTCTCTCTTTGATTTCTACAGAAAATATTTCAGCACCATTACTCTTAATACAATTTACCTTAATTTTAATAGCTATCTTTATTTTACTGCCTCTACTAGGTTGTAGTAGTTTGAGAAGGGGCTCTATCCTTCCTCTGCTCTTTCTCTAATACCGATACACTGCTTCCCAGAATTAGGCATATAATGAGTACTTAAGGAACTTAATAAATTATTGTCACAAGAGATTAGTCTCTTCTCTTGGGCATGAGAAAGAGGAAGAAAGAATGGGAAACGTTTCTCATTTGAGACTCAGCATGGAATTTCTCAGAAACAATAAGGAAACAAGTACCATAATTATGGGCTAATATTTTATTCTTTTTGCCAGCTAAAAATCTATATATAATGATAACTTAGTTTCTATGGACACAAAACTGTGCTTGGCATTCCTAAGAACCTACCTCCAAAAGCATTTCTGGAATACAGTTTGTGCTTGAAGTGACACACTTGCAGAAAATAAATATTTTCCTTTCATCGACTTTGCTTAAGTCTGCCTTAAGCCTCTTCTGGAACAAAATACTGTTAATGACAATAGAAAGGGTGAAAGAAAAAGAAGGAAAGTGGATGTTCTAAACACCCGAGTTAATTTCTAAAAGCAAATTCTAAGGGGAAAACACAGGCAAACTAAAAAAACAACCAAAAAAAATCCCTTTTATTATCATTTGCCAATTCTACCTTTATCTGTTGCCATATTCCAGGAAACAACTGAAACCTTAAGGTAAGAAGGTCTTCAAAGGCTTCTATTTTCTTTTTCCATGCAAATCTTTAAAATCGGACTAATCTTTTTATGTACATATTTAAGTATTTCTATATTCATTCAGTAAGTATATATTGAGAACTGTCCTGGGCATACAGAGATGAGTAAGACACACAAGGCCTCTGCTCTAAATGTCTATAGGCTGCTAGAGAACCCATGTACATTCTACTGGAGAAAATGAAAAACATACAAACCAATGAACAAGATAATTACAGATTACGATAAGGGCTGTAAAGCAGAGAAAATAAACAACACAGGGAGACACTCAATAATCAGTGAAGGCCTCTCAGATACATTTAAACACTGAAGAGAAAAAAGGACCAAGCCATGAGCAATACCTGGGTAAAATCTTCCCAAGCAAAGACAAGTGGAAAGGTCCGAGATGGAAACAGCCTCACTCTGTTTAAGGAACACAAACAAGGCAGTGTGGCTAGCTGTGGTTTTTCAAACTGGGGGTCACATTTTAAATTGCGATGTTAAGTTTGTGGGTAATTGCATTTTTTAAAAGGAAGTCAAATAGAAAAAATACATCAGAGAGTCACATGTTTTCAGAAGTATTCTTTAATGAACTTTTGCTTCAGTTATGTGAGTGTGCACATGTTTGTACTGGGTTGCAACATATAACATGTATCTTACTTTGAACCGTGGTCAAATCTGCACTAAGCAAGCAGAGTAGTAACAGATGACGATAGGGGGTGGAGGGCTGGCAAGAGCCAGATCACACATGGCCTTGAATTATAGGCCACCATAAAGAATTGGGATTTTATTCTAAACGCAGTTGGAAAGGCACTGAAGGGTTTCAAGCTGGAGAGTGACATGATCTAATCCGACATCAGGGTATTGCCAAAAGATTACTGTAGTGAAAATCAGAAGATATGAACACTAGTCCTGGCCTAGCCAATAACATCAGGGATTTTGAACAAATCTCTTAATCTCTCTAGACCTCACTTTCTTCATTTTAAAAACGAGAAGGATGCCCCAAGGTGACCTTTAAGATCTTGTTTATTGCCTAATTTCTGCCTGTATTCTGCTTCCTTCCTTCGGCATAAATAAATGACTATTGGGGTGTTACTAGCTCATTAGGTCTAATTCTGAGTTACTTCGTAAAATATTATAAACCATGTATTAACTGCTATAATAGTTACATTTCTGTAGAAAGCAATCGAAGAATGATCTCTATTGGAACCAGCTATATTATTAGAAATGGGAACTCTGGGTGAAAAGTGAATCAAGTGCTTTTGCAACTCTCCGGAACAAAGTTTGGGGTGTGAAGAAAATTGGCAAGGAGGTATGAAAAGATTTACTGACAAGTATTTGAAACCGATTTCCAGATTTGTTCTGTCATCAACTGATGTATAATCTAGGATGGTTTAAAGTTGCAGGGAACCTCTGCTGAATACTAGCCAAGATGTAGAAGCTTCACTCCTTTCACAGTAACCAAAATGACAACTGAGGCAAAATATTCACAGAGAGTCTACTATATGTTAAGACATGCTAGACGGTTTGATATATGTTTTTTAAAAATTTAATCCTACTATATTATTTGCACTTCATAGATATGAAAACAGGGGCTCTGAATAGACAAGCTATTTAGTGGCAGGGTCAGGATTATAATCAATCTTAAGGTAGGCAACATATAAATCCTTATTTAATTCCATATTTACAATAAGTTATTCCATATGTTTTACAAAATTACTGTACAGGTATTAAATATTCAGTTAAGTACCTGACAACTCAAGTATCTGTGACATCTGGACACAGAATGTTCAACCAAGAAATCAATTCTGGACTCATTGGTACTTTGCAAGATACAGTTTGGGATAAGAACTTGTTCCAGCATTGGAGGGCCTATTCTGTGGGTAGCATGCTGAGTTGTATGAAAGCGAGATCAAGCAAAATATCCAAGGAATTTGTATACCCAATTAAGTACACATCAATAGTATTATGGCAGTTTCCAGGTACATTTTCTCTAGTGTTGCTGGTGAAAGGCCAGCAGTGGAACCGTGGACTGGACAATGTCACCCGTCTTGTGGGCCTAACAAGTATCCTGCAAATTCCATAAACACGAGGACATGCTAAAAACTTAACCGATTTCCAACTTACATTAACCCTTTAAAGGGAGCATGGGACACACCACTTGACCATTTGAAGCGGTGCACACAGCTTGTCATGGAGAGGAAAACCTTTGAGACGTGCCCAGCATCATTCTTGTGAGGGTTGAAAGGGTCCCTAACACCTCCCACAAATACAAACACTCCAGCAAAGTTGGGGATGCTCACTGCACACCCGGAACAGAGTACCCACCTGTCACATACTCAGCTTCGAACCTCCGCCGGGTCTCAGAGATGAGCTTGGCTTTATTCTGGGCGTGATTCTGGATGGGAGACATGACCGGACCTTAGATACTACTTCCATCAACCCGCTTACCCTCAACCCAGCCCACCTGCACACGAGCGCTCAGTCCCCGGGCCTTAGAGGCGGCTTCCGGGTCCGGGGGGCCAGCGGCGGTGCAATAGGCTCCTCACCTCGGCCATGATCACGGTCGTGGAAGTGATTGCAGTTGTCGCCGTCGCCCGTTCTATCGTCGCCAACCGAGTATCTCATCACCCGCCAGTCCCGCCCAGAGGTAGACAGAGAAGGGTGGGAGGGGGAGGCGGTCGCGTGACACCGGAAGGCGGACAGAGGTGCCGCCGCACCGCCCAATCCAATGCGGACGCCTGGGTCTGGAGGCGGGACCAGGCCCTCAGCCTAGGTCCCATTCGTTTCTCGTCCGGCCTCGCCCCGCGACATCCCCCGCACTGCGGTCCCGCCCCCGCCAGCCGGGAGATCGCCGGCGCTTCCCCTGCGGAGCTCCGCCCTGGAGAGCTTGCCGGCTATTTGCTTTCACAACACTCCCAGGGCCCCGCCTCCTCAGCCTCCCTTGGCAACCGTCTCCTGGCTGGCTTCTAGGCTCCGCCTCCTCTGCGTTCGACGACGCAGCCTCCGCCCGGCCTCCCAGGATGCAGCGCGCTGGCGGGAGGTTTGGAGCCGATAGATACTGTATCCGCGTGGGGCGTCCGGTATGTTGCCGCTGCGTTCAGGTAGGATGGGGCTGGCAAGTCTTCCCTTCCCGGGACTTTGCAGAGGGGGCGATGGGGCTGCATTTCCTCCCCTTGTCCCCGCATTGCGGGAAAGAGGGAAGGAAGCGGGCATTCCGAGACCTGGGTCTGCCATTCCTTGGAATTATAATTGGATTTTAAGTGCTACATTCGGGGATTATTTCTCTTGAAGCTTTTTTTCATCCCTTCAGTATCCTTCCAACTTGGAGTGTGAGATGCTTAATGAGCAAAATTAAATCCTTATTTAATTACATATTTACAATAAGTTATTCCGTATGTTTTACAAAATTACTGTACAAGTATTAAATATTCAGTTAAGTACCTGACAACTCAAGTATCTGTGACATCTGAGCACAGAATGTTCAACCAATAAATCAATTCTGGACTCACAGGTACTTTGCAAGATGCAGTTTGGAATAAGAACTTGTTCCAGCATTGGAGGGCCTATTCTGTGAGTAGCATGCTTAATGAGATGCTTAATGAGCAAAATATCTGTGAAATCTTTAATTGTTATGTAAAGTTAAATGATAAAAGCGTCTTTCGGCTTATTAATTAAGGTAGTTGTTCTCAGCCGGGGGGCGGGGGAATATGGGGGGCGGTTTTACCACCCAGGGGACCTTTGGCAACGTCTGGAGACATTTTTATTCGCCACTGCTGGGGGCCAGGGGCCAAAGAGATGCTTACTGGCTTCTAGTGGATAGAGACCAGGGACGCTGCCAAACATCCTGCGGTGTACATGAAAATTCACAACAGTTATCCAGGGCAAAATGTCAATAGTGTCAAGGTTGAGAAAGATTTCGAATTAAAGGGACTGGAACAAATTTTGTTCGTCAGTTAAAAACGATTGAAAGAAAATAGTTGCGCATACAGTATTGCCTTTTGTAAAGTTGAAAGATACTGAAAACTACAAACAAGTTGAAAGAATAGTCCCCCATATTTCCATCAACTGTAGTCATCCATGACAGAATGGCATGTTAGCATCTTTTGTCCTAGACTTTTAAATATATTTACACTTTTTGGGAAAAAATGAACACATTGTCTAAATGTTGTTTGACTACATCCTTAAAAGATATTTCAGATATAACTAAAGTCTCCTTCTACCTCTACTCACCTATCCTGGACACTTAACTTGTTCAGAATCAACAGTCATTCAGAATTTGGCATGAAATGTTTACAGTTTTACATTTTCTTTTTTGGATCATACTGCCTGGGTTTGAATCCTGGCTCTGTCACTTCTTATCTGTAAGCCTTTGAGAAGATCCTGAAACTCCATGCCTCAGTTTCTCCATCTATAAAATGGGATAGTAACAGTGCCTGTGTCATAAGGATGTTGTGAGGAAGAAACGAGTTAATCCAAAGTGCTTAGAACAGTATCTGGCACTGTTGCTTCAGGAAAAAAAAATAGTACATGGCACTATTTCTTGAGAAAGCACTCAGGTAATGTAGCCATTGTAGGTAAATAGAACATATATAATGCTGTTTTGTTTGTTTTAATTTACGTAAATATACTGCAGTGTACATTTGTCTGCAACTTAATTTTTCATTTTATTTTTGAAATCTAACCATGATTTTATATATATATATGCATATACATATACATATTGATAGATAGATAGATCTAATTCGTTCCTTTTAACTCTCGTATGATAGTCCATCTATACTCATTCCCCTATTGGTGTTCATTGAGGTTTGTACTTTTTTTATATTGCAAATATCAGCACAGTGAGCATTCTAGAGCAATGTATTCATTCATATGTGGGATTATGTCTCTGGGTTTTTATCTACGAATGAAACTACTGGATATATGCATTTCAGTTGACTGCCAAATTACCTTCAGGGTCATCTCTCCCTTTTATTTAAGTACTCATAATTTTCTTCTAATTGTTAGCTCTTTTTCCAGTCTGATCTCACTCACATTTTTAACACTGTCACCAGGATCTTTATAACTCAAAAGTACAGTCCTGTGATTTCTGTTTTTGAAGTCTTTCAGTGGTTTATCATTACTTATATGAGAAATTTAGAAGTCCTTAATATGACATAAAAATTTTCTTTAATGTAATCTTCCCAAATTCTCTAATTTAGTTGATCGCCATTCTCCCACATTTACTTACATTTCAGGTATATTAGATACTGTTGAAAAAGGTGAGATCAATTCTGTGTAGGGCCCAATAAATAACTTACGTAGGGAGAAAAAACTTTTACCAGTGGCCCTATTTTGTAGGAATGTTAATTTACTTTGGTTAACAATGTCATATGTCTTGGAAAAACATCTATCATTATTATCTTCATAATATTATGTTCAGTATTTTTAGGTGCCATTTTAGTTGGGTGCCTTAATTCTACTTTTTTCCCAAGGATACTTTCTCTTGGTCACAATTGATATGGTTTCTTAGACTTTTTGGATGTCATCTGCTCTTCTAGGATAATCTGGAACCACACTGATAGTTTATTTGAAGAATTATCACATTTATAGGGCCAAAATGATTTATGAGCATTTAAAGAGAATGAACAACATGTTTATCAAGTGGGGGCAGGGGACAGTAAAGAATAGATGAGGATGATAATTTTATTGCCAGCCTACTATTGTTGTGTTAGCATATGCTGGTATATATTATCATTTTTCTAGTATACACACATACCTGTTTTAATTTTATATATAAAATAGATACAGTCATCTTTGATGTATGATAATATAGAACCATAAAAGCTCAAATTAATTATGTAGTATTTTATAAATAATCTGCTTTCTGGTCTCCACGCCCTGCCCTGCCACCCTGCCCCACACTGCCATCCCTAGTTACTTCTTCTGTATCCTCTGCAGCCACTATTACAATGTTAATAAGTAAAAAGTCAAATAACCCATAGGCTAGAATAGTAAACCTGGCGCCCTGATAATCAGGGTTTAAAATAGTGAGGGGTTGCTTATAGTTGGACTAAGAACCTCTAAACTGAACATTAGTTTGATTTGTTTCCAGATATGTTTCTATTTTTTAAAAAATGCCAGTTATTTCATGGCCTGCAGGTTTTATGAACATATACCAAAAACTTTAAAAATAGACATTGCAGCAGCAATACTTAATATCTACTCTCTTAGCAGTTACACCTCAGTAAAACTGGGAAAAAAGTTAAAATTCATTTTAGCAATGAATTAAATGTTAATGATTGAGTATTAATTAGATATGATAAACAGCAAACATTAAAAACAAACGAGATTGGAAACGTCGCATTAGTATAAAATATAGTGGGTATGCACATATTTGTAAATTCAATAAGTTTTGCAAAAACTTTTCACTCAGTAGTCATTTATGGTTTTAGATCAGTTTAAGTTCATGAGAATAAGTTTGCTTTTTGCCTGGAGATCATGTTGAAAGCAGGTTGAATTAGGATTATACAACAGTTTTGAATGCCATGCTAAGCTTCATAGCAATGGCTCGCAAGCTTTTTTTCTCTACACCATTCATATGTTCTATACACAGTGTTTAGCATCTGTTTTTCCAGGTAGTAATTCAAGAATCACAGGTCTATTGACAAAGGCAAGGGACATGCAAGCTTTTGGATTAGGGGGTGGACAGTGACAGGATCAAGTGTATGTTTTAGAACAATTAACTGATGTATTAAATAGCATAAATGAGTTGATGTTTTGGAGGGAAGAGAGATTAGATTAAGGAAGACTAAGAAGCTTTTACCTCAGCCTGAGAGATCACAGCCTGAACTATAGTAGTGGCAACTGGAACAGAGAGTTGGAAGTTAGATGTTTCTAACTTAGGGAACTTGATGATGACATTTAAAGAACAAAATGTAAGGGGCCTAACTTTCCTAAATTCTGACCATTTTATAATCAGATTTTCCTTACTCCTATCACACTTAAGTTATTGGTAAGTGAACCAGAGCATTGTACTGGTTAAACATTTTTTTATGTTTAATTTTGTCTATTTAAGTTGTGATATTTAACATTAAAATAATAAAATTCATATAGAGGTGATTTTTGTTTGCTTTTGATATTAAGAAATCTGAAAAACTTTGACTAGGTAGTAAAAGATGATGAACTCTTAGAGCTTTACCTCAGAATGTGTAATTTTCATGCTTTTCCTTTCTAGAAATCTAGGAAACCTGACATGGGACCTTTGGTAAATACATTATTATTCATATATTTTGATGGAATATAACTAATACATTTATTTTCTCTAAACTATAGTGTCATAAGTAAAAGCCACACCTTTGATTTACCTACCCTATCTTCTTTACTGATGAAGCTGACTGAAACTACTTTGTGATGGCTGTTGTCCCAGATCTTTCTGTTAATTGCCTAACAACAAACCAGTAAGCCAATGACTTCTTTTTTCTTCTTTATTTACCTGTTGTTATTGACACATTGTAATTGTGTATATCTAGAGAGTACAATTTGATGTTTTGATACATACATATATTGTATAATGGTCAAGTCAGGGTATTTAGTGTATCCTTCCCTCATGAATGTATCCTTTCTTCCTGGTAAGAACATTCAAAAACTTCTAGTTATTTTGTAATAAGTAATAAATTACACCTTACTGTTAACTATTTTTACCCTACTGTGCAATGGGACACTAGAACATATTCCTCCTATCTAATTGTAACTTTCTACCCTTTGAGCAACCCCTCCCCATCCTCCCATCCTGTCTCCTTTCCCAGTCTCTGATAACCGGTATTCTACTCTCTGCTTCTATGATAGCAACTCTTTTAAAAAAATTTTAGATTCCAGGTATTAGTGAGATCATGCGGTATTTGTCTTTTTATAACTGGCTTATTTCACTTAACATGATGTCTTCCAAGTCTATATATGTTGTTACACATGACAGGATTTCATTTAATTTTGTGGCTGTATTAATAGTATTCCATACTATGCACCAAAAATTGGTATATACACCAAATTTTTTAATCCATTGATTCGTTGTTGGACACGTGGGTAGATTCCATATTTTGGCTGTTGTAAATAGTGCTGAATAAACATGGGGGTGCAGACATCTCTTTGACATTGATTTCATTCCTTTGGATATAGACCCAGTAGTGGGATTCTGGATCATATGGTAGTTCTATTTTTAGTTTTCTGAGGAACTTCCATACTGTCTTCCATAGTGGCTATACTAATTTACATTCCTACCAGCAGTGTGTAAGTGTTCCTTTTTCTCCACGTGCTTGCCAACCTTTGTTATCCTTTGTGTTTTTAGTAATAGCCATTCTAACTGAAATTAGATGGTATCTCATTGTGGTTTTGATTTGTGTCTCCCTGATGATTAGTGATACTGAGCGTTTTTTTTTTTGTATACCTTTTGACCATTTGTGTGTCTTCTTTTGAGATATGTCTATTAAGTTACTTTGTCCATTTAAAAAATGGGGATATTGCTGTTCTTTATATATTCTGATATAAATCCCCTGTAAGATGTATAGTTTGCAAATGTTTTCTTACATTTTGTGGGTTGTCTCTTTTCTTTTTTTTTTTGGCCGTGCAAAAACTTTTCAGTTTGATGTAATCTCATTTGTCTCTTTTTGCTTTTGTTGACTGTGCTTTTGAGATCTTTTTTAAAAAATCCTTGCCCAACCCAATGTCATAAAGTGTTTCCCCTGTGTTTTGTTCTGGTAGTGTAATAATTTCAGGTTTACATTTAAGTCTTTAATCCATTTTGAGTTGATTTTTTATATGGTGAGAGATAGGAGTCTGGTCTCTGCATGTGGATATCCAGTTTCCCAGCACCACCATTTATTGAATAGACTGTCCTTTCCCCAATGTGTGGTTCTTGGCACCTTTGTCAAAAATTAGTTGGTTGTTGGTGCATGAATTTATTTATGGCCTCTCCATTGTGTTCCATTGGTCCATGTGTCTGTTTTTATGTCAGTACCGTGATGTTTCAGTTAATGTAGCTTTGTAGTATATTGTGAAGTCAGATAGTATGATGCTTTTAGGTTCGTTCGTTTTGCTCAGTATTGCTTTGGCTGTTAGGGGTCTTTTGTGGTCCCATATGAATTTCAGGCTTGTTTTTTCTATTTCTGTGAAGAACGTCATTGATATTTTGCTAGACATTGCACTAAGTCTATAGATTGCTTTGGGTAGTATGGCCATTGTAACAGTATTAATTCTACCAATCCATGAGCATGGGATCTTTCCATTAGTTTGTGTCATCTTAATTTTTTTATCAGTATGTTATAGTTTTCATTGTAGAGATTGTTTTGACCTTTTTGGTTAACTTTATTTCTATTATCTTTTTTTTTTTGTAGCTTTTGTAAATGGAATTGTTTTCTTGATTTCTTTTTCAGATAGTTCGCTTATTAACATATAGAAATGCTGCTGATTTTTGTATCCTGTGACTTTACTGAATTTATTAGTTCTAACAGTTTTTTGGTGGAGTCTTTAGGGTTTTCTCTGTATAAGATTATGGCATCTGCAAACAAGGACAGTTTTACATTCTCCTTTCCGATTTGGATGTCTTTTATTTCTTTCTCTTGCCTAATTGTTTTGGCTAGGATTTCTTGTATGCAGTATATAGAAGACTGAATAAAGAGATCAACAACTTTTTTTATACGTGTGTTCAATATTGAGGATATTCTTTTGTTCTTTATTTTACTGATTATTTCAAGTTGCTTTTCTTATAATGAGTTTGTTCAGAATAAGGGAATGCATGCCAGGGCAGAGTGGTAGTTAAAAGTGTAGACTCCGGAGTCAGAAGGCCCCTTTTCCAAACTAGCACCATTGCTGGTTACTATTAACTGTGGATTAGTGTTGTAACCTTGAAAAATTTTCTTATCTTCTTTAAAATAAAGCTTTCTTGCTTAGAAGGTGGAATAATAAGAGTACTTATTTTGAGAGAATAGTTATTAGAATTAAATAATGCATGTATTGTACCTGCCATATAATAAGCTTGAATGATTGATAACTATTGTTTAATTCTTGTGTTCATTATAATAAATTGTGTTAATCCTCTATTTTTTCCCTAATTTGAATAAGAATAGTGACTTCGTTGGGTCATACAAATGCATACAAATGCATTGCCTTTGTAAACTAAGATTTATTTGTATTAATCCTATGGAGATTTTTAAAAGCCTTGTTACAGCATCTCCTATTTTTATTCCTGGGGTTTCTTCTTTGTCTTAGAGCATGTATAGGCTCCTGTCTCTAGAAAGCAGAAGTCCAATTGCCTGGGCTGTGGGAGAAGTATAATTGAAAATCACCGTGTTTGGGGAGAGTGAGTTGCAAGACAAGTAAACCACTAATTGAATTGTCATTCTAAAGGGGCTAAGGCAGAGAGTGGGAAACCCCATTAGAGTTGTTAGGTTTGAAACAGAGAAGTATAACCCTTAAGCAATTTTCTGAGCCAGAACAAATATCTGAAGTCACTTTTAATAGAGCGTCTAAAGCTTTAAATATATGCTGTTAACACATTCAGTTATCTTTTTTGATATGGTTATTTGTATTCTTAGCAAACTTTTTTAAAGGGTCTAGAGAAATAGTATTTAGGATTTTTTTGATAAGTATGATATTGTAAAATAGTATAAAAAGCTTAAAATGTTTACTTAATAAAATGTATAGTTACCTATGTTGTAGTTCTCTAACAGAAACGTGTTTTCTTTTCAACTCTTCCTACTTCATGGCAGTTTTTCCTCATTTCTTTTTTAGGTTTGGAAACATCAACTGGAATCAATTTGCATTTGAAAATTAGATCAGCACAAAGACTTGATATTGTGGAATGACTAGCAAACAAGCAATGTCATCTAACAAACAAGAAAGGCTCTTGTGTTATAATGGGCAAGTCCTTGTTTTCCAGTTGTCTAAAGGAAATTTTGCAGATAAAGAGCCTACAAAAACACCCATATTACATGTCAGAAGAATGGTATTTGACAGAGAAACAAAAGTATTTGTTCAGAAGTCCACTGGATTTTTTACCATAAAGGAAGAAAACTCTCATTTAAAAATCATGTGTTGCAACTGTGTGTCAGATTTCAGAACTGGAATTAACCTCCCTTACATTGTGATACAAAACAATAAAAAGAATAATGTTTTTGAATATTTTTTACTGATCCTTCATAGTACCAATAAATTTGAAATGCGTTTGAGTTTTAAACTAGGCTATGAGATGAAGGATGGCCTAAGGGTCCTTAATGGCCCTTTAATTTTATGGAAGCATGTCAAAACATTCTTCTTTATCACTTCTCAAACTGGCAAAGTTGCTAGTGTGTCAGGTAACTTTTCCTCTATTCAGTGGGCAGGGGAGATTGAAAATTTAGGTATGGTTTTATTGGGACTAAAGGAATGTTGTTTATCTGAGGAAGAATGTACTCAAGAGCCTTCAAAATCAGATTATGCAGTTTGGAATACCAAATTTTGTGTATATTCTCTTGAAAGTCAAGAAGTATTAAGTGATACATACATTATTCCTCCTGCTTATAGCAGTGTGGTGACTTGTGTACATATTTGTGCAACTGAGATCATCAACAATCAGTTAAGAATATCTCTCATTGCCCTTACTCGAAGGAATCAGCTGATTTCATTTCAGAATGGAACTCCTAAAAGTGTGTGCCAGCTTCCATTTGGAGATCCTTGTGCAGTTCAACTTATGGATTCAGGTGGAGGAAACCTCTTTTTCGTTGTATCCTTTATGTCCAATAATGCTTGTGCTGTATGGAAAGAGAACTTTCAGGTACTACACTTATTGTGATAATAATTCAGTTGGTGGTCTCAAACCTTTTAAACATGTCTGTACTTCATAGAGTTCATTCTGGAGTCTTATTATTTAAGTCAATTTTCAGTTCTGTACTTGAAGTAATGTATATTACATTGTTCTTTTTTCTTAAAGTTACCTGAATACAACCTGATGGTGTTTTTTTTGTCTTGCCATTTTGAGTCATAAAGCCTTTGAGTTGTTTGGAAATGTGTAAATACGTATGTAACTATAATTATGTATTTACTTTCCTGTTAGTATAACTTTCTAATTTTTATTAATATAGTAGATGTGCATTTTCACTTACAATAAGATTATTAGTGATTTGACTAGATAGATAAGCCATCCTGGAAAATTTGAATCAGTTTTTCATGTTTTTATTTTTTATATATTTTTTGAGACAGGGTCTTGCTTTGTCACCCAGGCTAGAGTACAGTGGCGTGATCTCAGCTCACTGCAGCCTCCACCTCCCAGATTCAAGTGGTTCTCCTGCCTCAGCCTCCCGAGTAGCTGGGATTACAGGCATGTGCTACCACGCCCGGCTAATTTTTATATTTTTAGTAGAGATGGGCTTTCACCATGTTGGCCAGGCTGGTTTCAAACTCCTGGCTTCAAGTGATCCGCCCGTCTCGGCCTCCCAAAGTGCTGGGATTACAGGCATGAGCCACCATGCCAGGCCAACTTTTTAAACATTGATACTTATCTGTTTAAATTTACTTGTCTCTGATTCATTTCTGAAAGTGAAATATAGAGAAATTCCTAGAAATCTGGAGAGACAAATAATTGTTCTCTAGAGACAAGTGGTAAGCATTACTTTTTCTAAAAACTTGCTCAGAGATTTTATTATGTTATATTTTGAAATGCAGAACTGACCTTTGAGCAAGTATGCTCTTTTAAAGTAAGTTTGGAAATTGCTCTAAAATATGTATTGGTATTGAGTGTTAAATAACAGGTAAAAAGGCACAGAAAACCAATAGGAAATTAGAGTTTTGTAACTGAGTGTCTCCACCAATAATATTTCTTTGACTGTTTTTTTGGGTAATGTTGCATCCTTCTGGCTTAAAATGTATTCAGTTATGTGATTTGAAGTGTTTATGAATTAAGACAAATCATTACTAGTTAGAAATGTCTCTTCCAAAAGTAGTACACTATACAATTTTTAGTTTTTGTGCTACTTAGGAGAAAAAAGCAGATATTACCTTATTTTGTGTGCCCTGTCCATTTAATTAGAAGCTCAATGAAAATTTTTATCATATTGTCACCTCTATATGGAATATTGTTAAATGTTTTAGAAAGTTTGAAATTCATTTTTAAATGTGAATCATTATTGTTTGTGTCGGGGGAGGAATGTCAAGTTGGAATTGTGAATCAGGCTTTGCCTTACCAAGTACTTTTATATTAATAGGGATTATTTTGAATCTCTGTAATACATATGTATCCTCTATAATACATAGAGAATGCAAAAGGAAAATAATTTGAAAGCTATCCTATTTTATTTTGAAAGCAATCTTTTAAAAGCACATTATACATTTATTTGAAAGTTATTTGGAATTGTCTTTTTCTGTTCTCTTTTCCTTTAAAGAAATGGTAGGGGGAAAACATCTGGTATACCCTATAGTCTTTTACTGTGGTCAAGGTAATACAATAGAAAGAACACACTTAACCGGGTTTTGAATCCCAACTGAGCCACTTACTGGTGTTACCTTAAGGAATGTAATTCTTGTGAACTCATTTTCCTCCTTTATGAAATTTGGGATCATCCTGACTGAGAGGGGAGAATTAAGTCAAATGACATTGTAAAGTGTCTTGCACAGAGCTTGGCACACAGGAGGAACTTAGTAAGTAGCAGGTATTACTCTGTTATGTTACTGTTAGACAAAAGTCAGGGCTGTCCTCAGTTATTTGCACCTACTCAAGATCCCCTATTCACCTAGATAAGGAAAAAACAATTCCTTTATATGTCATTAATTGTAGTACTCACTCTCTTGAAGTGGGTTTCCTGCTTGGACCCTGTAAAGCTTTGCCACTAACATGTTACCCAAGGCAGGAGACTGCATCATTCCCTGTAGGTGGACCTGTAACTGCTGCTTCCCTGACCTGAAGTTGTGTTCTAGGGCACTCTCTCTACAATGGACCACTATCTTTTCCACACATTGCTTCCCTAAGTCCCTACTGACTTACCCCCTAAGTTGCTTCTTCAGGAATTCTGTACTTCTAACTTGCTCTCAAATGCCTTGTTTTAAAAGCTCTGGAATTCACCCTGATATCTACAAGTAAGTGCTTCAAAGTTGCCTCTAACCCTGCCACTTTGGGCATATTCAGGTCCTGCTTCTATCTTGGTATTACATTTATACTCAACTGCTTAAAAAAAAAGGGAAATATTAGTTTAGGGTAAAATATTCAGCTACTTTAAAAACAGAAATAAGGCTTGGCACGATGGCTCATGCCTGTAATCGCAGCATTTCAGGCTGCCGAGGCAGGCAGATTACTTGAGGCCAGGAGTTCAAGAGCAGCGTGGCCAACATGGTGCATTCCTGTAGTCCCAGCTACTCAGGAGGCTGAGGCATGAGAATTGCTTGAACCTGGGAGGTGGAGGTTGCAGTGAGCTGAGATCGCCCTACTGCACTCCAGCCTGGTTGACAGAGCAAGATCTGTCTCCAAAAAAAAAAAAAAAAAGAAAACAGAAATAAGACCTAACAATCTAGAAATAAAGTGGGAGTAGAAATAATTATGCCAAAAACCCAGATTAAGACAAGTAATTACATTTGAACAATTACATTTAGTTTTAACAGTTAAGACAAAAAAATAAATATGGTGGATTTTACAACTGAAAGGAACATACTACAAGGGAAAATATTTTTTCTAACATTAGGTTCTGAGAAGAATTTACTGTGTGTGGTATTTTATAAAAGGTTTTGAGTAATAAGATGAATACCTTATTAAATAATAAGGTGGGTCTTTGATAGCAGTTTTCCCCCAAAATATAAAGCGATAGAAGCCATCTTCCTTTGGGTTGGCTATGGATCCATCCATCCATCTATCCTTTTATTACCTCATTCCAAGAAGGAATTAAGCCAGCTTACAAAGAGAGGTAAAATACAAACAAGCATAAATTAGAGTAAATAATGAAAATCAAGGTTAGTGTTTTCCCAGATCAACACTTCATAAAAGCCCGAGGTATGATGTTTAATGTGGTAATAGGACCTGAAACAGAGGTGAATCTAAAGTAATACATGATTAGCTTTTTTCTTCTTCGGCTTTCTCTCTTGAGTAGAAATTGTCTCTGCAAGTTTTGACAAGAAACTATGTGGCAGGCATTTCAAAATTGAGATCATAGGCTGGGTGTGGTGGCCCATGTTTGTAATCCCAGTGCTTTAGGAGGCCAAGGTAGGAGAATTGCTTGAGGCCTGGAGTTTGAGACCAGCCTGGGCAACATAGTGAGACTCCCATCGGTACAAAAAATTTAAAAATTAGCTGGGCGTGGTGGCATATGCCTATAGGCCCAGCTACTTGGGAGGCCGAGGTGGGAGGATTGTTAGAGCCCAGGAGTTCAAGGCTGTAGTGAGCTACAATTGTGCCACTGCACTCCAGCCAGGGCAACAGAATGGGACCCTGTCTCAAAAAAAAAAATCCATCTGTCAATAAAATTGAGGTCATTGTCAAGTATACCGGAAGCATAGCTATTGGTGTGTTGTCGATAGAGGTTAATGTGTTCTGGTGCTGTGCTGTCTAATATGGTAGCCACTATCCAGATGTAGTTATTCAACATTTGAAATGTGGCTAGTCTGAATTAAAACAGGTTATAAATGTCAACCATCAAATTTCAAAGATGAATAGAATAGAAATGGTAACATCTCTCAATTTTTTAATGATTACATTGAATTGAAATGACAATATTTTAGATATATTGTGTTAGATATATTAAAATTTCATTTTTTTACTGCTACCAGAAAATTTAAAATTATATGCCTTGTATTTGGGGCTCGCTTACCTTTCTATTGGATGGCACTATTCTAGAGCTATAGATTGCAAATATGTGTGTGCATGCATGCATGCATACATAGTTCTGTGCTGTTTTCTTGCCAAGCACATTCTTATTACTAATGTCTCTTCCCATAGTCCATTATACTCCATGATACTGATGGGAGAAAGGGAGGATATGGGTTTACAGATAAGCTGTCTCTCTGCACAAGTGAAGAATCAACTTTGGAAATTAGCCTTGTAGGGGAAGATTGATATTTGGGTATGTGGGTTGAAGAGCCTTACTTTCATTCTTGCTGTAATGAGAGCTACCCTCCTGTATCATCTAGATGATGTATCTGTGCTCCTGGAATTCTGAGAAGGGGTTTTAGCTTTTTTGTCTCAGGGAGAAGGGGGATTTGATCCTCATGGTGTTAGTTTTCCCTGGGACCAATCTTGAGGCTTTCAGCTATATGTACCTTTAAGAAGTTGTCTTCTATTTTAAATGTGAGGTCTCAAGTTCTGATATAAACTGACCAAATCATTCCATGAGGCTAGGACGGTTCTGGCTGTTCCACTCTTAGGACCCCTCACCTGTGTACCCAATACTAGCTGTATTCCCCTCCATACCCACATCAGGGTTTAAGGTTTTAAGCTCATCTTGATTCTACTATAGGTGAGTTTGTATTAAGAGCTCTTAAGGTGTCTACTAGTACTGTCTGGTTACCTAATGCAACTGAATTCCTTGGGTAATTTGTCTGATCGTAAATATATATCCACTAAGAGTTATGGGAATGAGGGTCTTCCTTAAATTAGCTGTGTGAGAGAAAGAATCTTCGCTAGAGTTTGACTCATGATAAATGTTAGAATTTCCAAAGGTTTAGTCATGAAAACTGTTAGAACTTATAGGTTACAATAAAATTTTAATATAGATATCAAGAACGTGACGGTCCCTGGACAAACCTGAATAAAATATTAAATCTAAGTACCTTGCTCTTTATGAAGTTGTTATAACTCTTATATTTTCTCATCCCCTAATATCTTTATTTTTAGTTTTTGCTATTTTCATTACTCATTTATAAGATTGAATTTTACAAATTACAACTACATGAAACAAAAGGACTTAATTTGTTTATTTCACATTTGATTTTTTTCTTGTCTATTCCTCCTATAATGCTCCCTTTCTTTTAGGTTGCTGCTAAGTGGGAAAAACTTAGCTTAGTACTGATAGATGACTTTACTGGAAGTGGAACTGAACAAGTACTCCTACTTTTTAAGGACTCCTTGAACTCAGATTGCCTGACTTCATTTAAAATAACGGATCTTGGAAAAATAAACTATTCAGTAAGTTCTATTTACTTATCATATGGTATTTTAAGAACCATTTCAGAAAACTTAAGTGCCCAAAAGCTTTGACCTATCATTTAAATATTTGTGGTTTTATACTTAAAATTTTGAACTTTAAAAATATATAGATTGAATCTTTTAAATATATATATTGAATCTCCTTTCAACAAATGTTATACAAATTGACCATGCTTTTGATATAAATTTGAATTATAGTACATTTGGTGATCACTTAAGTGATGGCAATACTATAAATTAACTTTATCTTGCTTCTGAAAATCACATTTTTTACCAATAAATATAATATTGGATTAAATAAGGAATAAAATGAAGCAAAACTGCTTTAGTAAAGGAAGTAACAGCTCACAATATCTTGAGATCTTGGACATAAGGGAAATTATGCCCCTGAAGTTTCCAATCAATAAAAAATCTCTCAAAGCCTCAGTTTTTTCATTAGTAAAAATAGCATAATTTAATTTTTCTCCAGTTATGGAATTTTAGGATTTTTTAAAAAGCTAATGAGAGCCCAGGAATTCAAGGCTGCAGTGAGCTGTGATTATTATGTTGCACTTCAACCTGGGTGTCGGAGCAAGATACTGTCTCTTAAATAAATAAATGGAAAAATGTTTGCTCTTTAAAAAGAAAACTAACCAGCTGATACTTTGTAAAGCAGTATATAAATGTTAGGTGGTAGTAGTAGGAACCATAATAATTTTTTTCAGGTTATAAGAAGATGATGGGGAAAATATACAGGTTGCCTTTGGGTTTTTTTTTTTTTGGGAGACTGAGTCTCGCTCTTTCATGCCCAGGCTGGAGTGTAGTGGTGCAATGTCAGCTCACTGCAACCTCCACCCCCTGGGTTCAAATGATTCTCCTGCCTCAGCCTCCCAAGTAGCTGGGATTACAGGTGTGCGCCACTATGGCCGGCGAATTTTTTGTATTTTTAGTAGAGACAGGGTTTCACCATGTTGGTCAGGCTGGTCTTGAACTCCTGACCTCAGGTGGTCTGCCCACCTCGGCCTCCCAAAGTGCTGGGATTACAGGCGTCAGCCACCGCGTCTGGCCTAGTTTGCCTTTTATAAAATAGTGTGTAGCACGGGAAACTGTTCTGACTGGATATACTTTAATTGTTTTGTTAGTTTTATGAATTTTCAATTATTTCAAAATTTCAGTCTTAGTGTATTTATTTATTTATTTATTTATTAGAGTGAACCATCGGATTGCAATGAAGATGACTTATTTGAAGATAAACAAGAGAATCGTTACCTGGTGGTTCCACCTCTAGAAACAGGACTGAAAGTTAGTGTCTGTTTACTTCTTTTGCTTTTCGATTAGTGTTATTCTAAATGAAGGAAAGAACGTTGAAAGAAAGGTCTTTAAAGTATAAGCAACTTGGTGCTTGGGGAAAAATGGTATTTCAAAGGATCTTTATCTTTTTGGCACCTGTGTACAAACTATTATGATACTACTTATAAATGTATCATCTAAACATGATACCTTTTTTGTAGTAAGACTCTATAGATTTAATAAGCCTCATGAGAGAAAATAGAAGCAGCTCACTTTTGAAAACACGTTCTTTCCGGGATCAGTATACCACAGTATCTTTTTAGAGTAGCAGTGAATATGATAAATCATAATACATTCCAGACATGAACAATTTACTCTCGTATTTTCCATAAGAAGCTCCCTAAAAGAGTTTTTTGTTTTTGATTTTTCCCAAGTGTACCAAGGTAATGCACATTCCCTATAAAATACTGAGACTTTGCAAATAAATGTCAAAACAAAACAAAACAAAGCTAATGATTGTCTGTGATTCCACTTCTTTGAAATAACCGATTTTAACATTTTGGCATGTATATTCTTGCAGATTGTTAAATGAATTTATGCAAATTTACATAGAAATGTGATTATAAGATGTATGTTGTTTTGTAAGCTGCCTTTTTTGTTTATAGCATTTTCAAATATACAGAAACATTCCAAGAATACAGTGATTATCTCTGTATCCCCACATACATTCAACTCTTGTTACTTTTAAAAATCTTATTGGCCTCATTTGTTTGTGTTTGTGTGTGTGTGTATATATTTTTGTAGAACCATTTAAAAGTTGCAAATGTTATATTTCACTCATAGGTATTTCAGCAGGAATCTCCTAAAAATAAGGATATTCTCCTCATGCAACTATAATACCATTATCAAAGTTAGAAAATTATTAATGATCCATTAATCTTATTTGCTATCTTGTCCATATTCAAATATGTTTAGTTATCACGAAAATGTTTTTATAACTGTTTTTTCCAGGATCCAATCAATCAAAGTTTTTACTCGCATTTGATTATATCTATTATTGGTCTTTTTATCTAGAATAATTCCCCTTTTCCCCTTTTAAAAATTATGCTAAAGAGGAGGCCATGCTAGTTTTATCCTCTCTTTTGGATTTGTCTCTTTTCTTGCTGTGTTATTGAACTTTTTCCTCTTTGCCTAGGATTGGAAAACTTTTTCTGGAAAGGGCCAGGTGGCAAATATTTATACTTTGTAGGTTGTTTTAAAATTATTTTGCAGCTATTTCATCATTAGAGTGAGTTTACTTTAAAAATGCTTATTGAACATGTATTAGACATGAATTTGAATAACAGATTAATAAAACATCATAACAGACATAGAACCATGAATGAAGACATTCATCTATTCAAAATTTTTGTACCCTGAACAAAGTAAAAGTAATAAGACAAATTGTGAAAAAAGAAATTGTAATAAATGACAAAATATTAATTTTCTTAATATAAATGTACATTCTTCTATTGTATTTTTGTGAACGTGTAGTGGCCCAGCCTTCTCAGAGGTAAAGTTATTGTAGTTACTAAAAGATGAATTACTCATGTCTTTTTACTCTTGCAGTTTCACTTCTAGAAATCTCTTCTAAGGATAGAGATGATTTTACAAGAATGTTTATATAGTATTTATAAACTACAATGTTGGCTGAAATCTAAACATACATCATTAGGCGTATAATAAGTAAATTGTGATGTGCTGAACCATGGAATACTATGTAGCTGTCAAAGAGAATAATGCATATTTTTATACTGATTTAGAAATGATGCCAAAGTACTTTAATTTATGAAAGCATGACTTTATGAAAGGTTTAATTTATGAAGCAGGATCAACTCTCCTGATTAAAACTGAAAATGATAGATGAAGTCTCCTTTATAAACCTTCTTAGAAGCTTCAAAAAGCTGACACTATAAGAATAAATTATCAAATCAAACTTTAAAGACTGGAACCCAGAGAGATAAGCAGAACACTGATGCTACTTTTGCCCTGGGAGCATGTGTGTTGAACTTAAATTGGTGGTGCCCCAGGCACCTGACAGAAACAAACAGAAAATCCTCTCTGGAAACACACATTCATCCTAGCCCTCATAAATCTCACAAGTAATTTTTCAAAGAAAATGAGCTGTCCACAGAATAACTAAACACATAAAGAAAAGAGGCATCATGAGTAAGTATTCACAGAAAATAACCAAACAGCATCTGTTTCAAGCAAAAACACACTGAAATAAAAAACTCAATAGATGACTTTAACAGTTAAAGAGATAAAAGAGATACAGAGCAAATTAGTGAACCCGAATATATGAGAAAAATTATCCAGAATGTAGCACAGAGACAAGGAAAGTATGAAAGGCTTTAAACAACATTAAGGGAAGGAAGGGAGGAATGGAGGTGGTGGATAAGAGATAGTTGAATATCCATTTTGTTTCAAGTATCCACATGTTAACAGTAGCTTTCAATGTAGATAATAAAGTTCTAAATGCTGGAAGGCCTTTTAGAGATGAGCAAGCCTACCTTTGCACCATTTTGCACATGATGTAACAAATAGAGAGCCGGAAAGGTTAAGTGACTTACAGAGCTAGAACTAGAGTCCATTTCACTGTTCTTTCTCCCCTGAAATTTGTATTCCAGTCAGTTACTGGAAGGGGAGATGGGGAGACCAGGACCTTAGAGAATCTTGTACACATGTACACAGATGTTCATAGCAGCATTGTTTGTAACACTGCACAACTGAGCATAACCCAAATACCCATCAGCTGGAGAATGGAGAAGTAAATTGTGGCAGTCATATGATGGAATACTGTAAGCAATGGAAGGAATGAACTACAGTTACTAGTGTCAACATGGGCAACTCTAAAGCCTGATACATGCTGAACGATTCCATTTATAAAAGGTTCAGAAGCAAAACACAAAAAACTTAAAATATTCCTTAAGAATTCATGCAAATGTTGTAAAATTTGAAGACAGGTAAGGAAATTATCTTAAAAGGCCAAGGTAATATTGACTCCACGGGAGAAAGGGCAACTGTGATTGTGGAGGGCCCCTGGGCAGCTCCTGGACTGCTACTTTTTGATTTGGGTGGAATTACATGGGTGTTGGCCTCCTTATTAGTCTGTAAAATGTTATTTTGTAATGTGCATTCTTCTGCATGTATGATAGAGATCACAATAAAGAACAAAAAAGCAAGGTTCAGTGTCATGCAGTGCGATGTGCTCCTTGTATTTGGTTTTGGGTGGGTTTTTGTTGGTGCAAAGGAAAAAGCATTCCTTAACATGCACATGGAAAAGTTCTGGGAAGGTACACCATCTATTGGTTTTGCAAATGGAATTGAGCATCTAGGAAGAGGTGAGGTGTACTTTTTCACATTGTTTAAGTTTCTTAACATGTGTCTAATTTATTTTTGTAGCTTTGTAGCAAAACTTCACAGCCAAGATTATTTAACTACTCTACTGAATCACTATATCGTCCTGGAGTAAGGGCCATGTTAAGGAGGAAGGAAGAGTGAACACTGATAATTTTCGAGGGTACATTTCAGTATGCCCACATAGTTTTTTCTTCTACTCCCCACCCCTCCAGTAGCTCAGCTGTGGCTACATACCTTTGCTGGGTACATCTGCCTCTCCCTGTCACAAATTACTGAGTGATGGAGTGTGAATCATGTGCAACCCACAGAACTAGGTCAACATAGGAAGTTTTAAAACATTAGCTAGATACTTCACATACTTTGCGCAATAAGGTGACACATAGTAATAATTCAGTCTTCATTCTCCAATTTCTATTCATTGATTAAAAGAAAAATAATTTACTTGCCTTGAAATGTAATTTAAAAGAAAATCCCAAAAGTGATGCATTTTGTTGTTTAAATCTAGAAAAAGATGTTTCATTAAAAGCCAGATGAATACTTAAACAGCCTCAGATATCTACCTGAAATGAAACAACTTCTATCAGTTCAATAACATGACTCTTTAAATTTTCGGTAGCAAAATATATTTTGTGAATGTTTCATCCTTAGTGCTGAAATCTAGTTATCTGGTATCATGAAAGGAATGGATTGCTGTATCCCCGGTTCAGAGCCAAATTGTTATTTTTTTCAGTAGTTTTCAGTATTTTTCAGTAGACTCTAGCACCGAGTTTATTAGCACAAAAATAAATATAGTTTGGGAGCTATTACAATTTTAATTTTATTTAAAAATTTTGCTATAAAGGTTACATGAACAGAAAATTTCGAAGAGTATCACATTAAAAGTGATAATTTCTATTCATTATGATGTCTTTGCTTATGTGGATGCCTTGTTTATAAAGCAGAAATTATTTCAACAAGAAAAAGTTATTTTGTGTGGGGTGAGTGTATTTGTAGGGCTTGATTTTTATTCACATTGATTCGAAGTTACTTAATGACTCACTAGTGAAACATGCTAATATATTGCCACTCTCTCAATTTGATACATAAACTCTATGTTGCAGTTATTTTCTATATTTTCCTTTGAAAGAAGATACATTTTTTAAACTTAGAGACTTAAAATCTATAAACAAAACAGTTTTGCTCTGAGAAGTATTTTATTTTCTGCAGAAAAATGAATTGATACGCACATTTGGAGAAAGTATTTCCTGAATTATTGGTATGTCTGGTTTCATTTGAAATCATGTTTCTTGCAACTATTTTTCTTTCTACTTTATAGATTTGTTTTTCTTCTTTTCGGGAATTACGGCAGCATCTCTTTCTTAAGGAAAAAATTATTTCAAAATCTTACAAAGCTTTGATAAACCTGGTTCAAGGAAAAGATGATAATACATCAAGTGCAGAGGAGGTAAAAGTAATCATGTGACCATTTTATCATTTTATGAATTAAAAATCTGTGAGCTATTGAAAAGTCATTTAAATTGGAATATTAGAATATATTAGAAAATGCTGCTCAGTGGATCAAGAAGAAAAGCAGCAGAGGTTATAATGGTGGACTTTTATGACATTGAAAAATATTTGATTAAGGAGCCAATATTTTATCGATTTGTATGTAATTCTGTAGCATATTAAAGTTTCAGTTATCAGGAACCTTGGGGAACAAGTCCTTTTGTTTACAGATTTAACTGTTAAACTTTTTTATTTGTATTGTTTGGATAGAAATTACTCGTAAGTGAATTATGTGTTTACTGACTTCTTAAATAGAATATACTGAGTATTATTTAACTTTGTATTGGTGATGACATAATTTTATTATTAGTATGATTGTTCTTTTAGTCTGTTGGATTGTTTCTTTCTAAGGATATTTTTCCCTCTAGCAAGTGTTCTTACACTGCTATGGGTTTTTTAGTCCTTCTATCTGCTTTTTATAATTTTACTCTCTTTTTCCTTGTGGCTGATTATAATAAGATCCTCCTCAGGGCCGGGTCTGGTGGCTCATGCCTGTAATCCCAGCACTTTGGGAGGCCAAGATGGGTGGATCATGAGGTCAAGAGATTGAGACCATTCTGGCCAACATGGTGAGACCCCGTCTCTACTAAAAATACAAAAATTAGCTGGGTGTGGTGGCATATGCCTGTAATCCCAGCTACTTGGGAGGCTGAGGTAGGAGAATCACTTGAACCTGGGAGGCAGAGGTTGCAGTGAGCTGAGATCCTGCCATTGCACTCCAGCCTGGGTGACAAGAGTAAAACTCCATCTCAAAAAAAAAAAGAAAAAAAAAAGAACTTCCTCAGGTCTCTTATGTGGTAACTTATGTCAGTACATTAATGTAGGAAGTTAGTAAAAACTGCTGAAACTTCATAAAAATAATATTTATGCACATTAATTTCATACCGAGAAAGACACACATGGCGACACTAGAAGTAAATCAATAAGAGCTGAACTAATGTTGCTTTTTATTCCCTCAAATCACTGTAGTGCCTAGCTCTGACTTCCTTCTGGATTGACCATTTTTGTCATGGGCTATGCTTTGTATTTGTATTCCAGTCTTAGCCATATAAGGATTTGGGTGCAAAATATGATCTTGTTAATATAATAAAACATAACAAAAACACATTGTGTTGCTATATTACTGTTCTAATTTCCTGGGAAACCTCATGAAAGTCATTGTTAAAACTGTTACACCATTTCCTTTCCTCACCTCAATGATTTTGCCAATTTTAGAAAGGGGAAGGAATGTTTAGAAATTAATATATTGAAACCACTATGTGCAAGGCCCCATTTTTGGCCCTTTACATTGTTAGTTTTAAAAGCAAACCTGGCAGGTAGTAAAAATGTCTCCAGGTTTCAGATGAATAGCCTGCTTCAGAACTCACAACTACTGGCAGAAGTGTCAGATTCCTGGGAACATATTTTGTCTCCTATTGAGTGAATGCCCCTATCTTTCTTCAGTAATTACCACATAGAGAGGCAGTATAGGGTAACAGTTAAGGAAGAGCATGGGCTCTGGGACCAGTTGGATTCAGTTCAGATCCCAGCCCTGCTACTTGCTGTGTGACCCTGGGCAAGTTACATAACTTCCCTGTACCTCATTTTTCTAATCTGTAAAATGTAGATGATAATACCACAGACCTAGGGTACTAGGGTTATCGTGTGGGTTAAATGAATTGATACAAAAATGGCATTTGGAACAGTGCCTGGCATAAAGCAAACACTCAATAGATGTTGTATATTATTATTATCATTACTATTATTCTTATTACTGCTGTTTCTAATGTTGTATATCCATATGTGTGTGGAAATGAGTATGGCTTGGACTTTTAAGAATAAAATTTTAGCAATAAGCTCTAAGTAGTCTAAAGATAGTTTAATCAGTTTTATTCATACAAAAGTTTACAGTTACAGGCTTAGTGCAAGTCACTGATAAAATACAGAGTGGATTATTTTCAGTATAACTGGGGTACATATTATCAGACTTTTTTTTTTTTTCCAAAATGGACTCCAGGTTTACCTCCCTTTTGACTCTCTGTTGGATACCTCATCTGAATAGATAGGGAATTTTATATATTTTATACATTTCATGTTAGTAAATTGTGTATAATCTATAATATGATATGTTATGATTTGTTTTTAAATATTTAGGTCATCAGCCCTAGCCAAAAGCACACTTAACTTTTTTTTTTAGTTTTGCTACACATGGTACATATTTTATAATTAGTTATTTAAACTTTTTTTTTTTTTATAAGGAATGTCTTGTTCCTCTTTGTGGTGAAGAAGAAAATTCCATCCATATCTCAGATGAAAAGTTATCAGACAATTTTCAAGATTCAGAACAGCTAGTAGAGAAGATATGGTATCGTGTAATGGATGATAGCTTGGTTGTTGGAGTGAAAACTACATCTTCTTTAAAGCTGTAAGTAAATTCCAACATGATAACACTATCTTGATGCTCCAGAACAGTACTGTCCAATAGAAATTAATGTAAGTCACATGTGCAATTTTAAATGTTCTAGAGGCCATGTTTAAAAATGTAAATAGAAGCAGGGGAAATTATTATTATTATTATTATTTTTGAGACAAAGTCTCACTCTGTTGCCCAGGATGGAGTGCAATGGGATGATCTCGGCTTACTGCAATCTCCACCTGCTGGGATCAAGCAATTCTCATGCCTCAGCCTCCCCAGTAGCTGGAATTACAGGCATGCACCATCATGCCCGGCTAGTTTTTGTATTTTTAGTAGAGACGGGGTTTCACCATGTTGGCCAGGTTGCTCTCAAACTCCTGACCTCAAGTGATCCCACCCACCTCGGCCTCCCAAAATGCTGGGACTACAGGTATGAGCCACCATGCCTGGCCATTTTAATGATATGTTTTATTTAACCCAATATATCCAAAACATTATCATTTTAACATGTAATTAGTATAAAAATTGTTAATAAGATATTTTGCATCTGTTTTTTCATACAAAGTTTTTAAAAGTTGGTGTGTATTTTACGTGTATAACCTATCACAATTCCAACTAGCCACATTTCTGGTGCTTAATAGCCACATATATCTAATAGCTACTCTCTTGGCCAGCACAGCTCCAGAAGTATCTCTTTTACACAAATGCATTGAGTTAATAATATGAGGAGGATGAGGTTTATGAAATTAAGACGCTATAGTCTCACGGTGGAGATAATCAAACAGCGTACAGAACTTTTTAATCAAAACATTTAGAGGCATTAGGGATACTTAGAGACTATTGACCAAAGTGAATAGGTAAAAGTTTAGTTAAATAACAAAGTATCTCCCTCTGATAACAGACGATATTCTCTTTTGGGCTGTTGAAATCACGGATAGAGAAGTAATGTGCATACCATCTATATCTGCAGTCTAGCAAAGAGCTTTTTAGCCAAAACAGGCTAAATACAGGCATTACAGTAACTACATTGAATTTGAACCACAGATACACAAATAGAGAGAAACCAGATAGTGCCTTGTAATAGGTGATGTCAGTATATTTGAGCAGCTTAACATAGTAAGGGAGCCAGACTGCTTATCTCGTGGGTTTGAGATATGGATTTATTGTTTTGTTTCAGTGAATTTCTAAGCTGTTTTGGGCTGGTTCATCATCTGGGTTTTTCTTCTCTTTAATGTATTAATTTTATATTGTAAAATAAGTCTCGCATTCTTGTGATAAACAGTTTGTCACTAGATTTGGTTTGCTGTCCTTTGGTCAAGAATATTTGCATCTAAATTCATGAGTGAAATTGGCGTGAAATTTTCTTGAATGATACTTGCCTGGTTTTAGTATCAAGGCTATGCTAGTTTATAAATGAATTGAGGAATATTTCCTTTTTTCCTGTTCTCTGGAGCAGTTTGTGTAAATTTGGAATTACCTGCTCTTTAATATTTGGTTGTAGTCGCCTGGAATGCAGTAGAAATCTGAAATTTTCTTTGTGAGGTGACTTTTAACTACTGATTCAATTTCTTTAGTTATAGGATTGTTCACATTTTTATTTATTCTTGAATATGTTTTGCTTATACTTTTCAATTATTATATTTATTAGCATAAGTTGTTCCTAAGATCCTCTTTAGGTATTTATCAACTGTATTGTTAGTGTTTGTCAGTGTCTTTTTATTCCAAATCTTATTTGTGTCTTCTTTTTCCTTGATCTTGCCAGAGATTCATCCATTTTATTAGATCTTTTCAAATAATTAAATTTTTTGTTGATGTTCAATTGTGTATTCCCTGTTCATTTCTGATCCCTTATTATTTACTTTTACTTTATTTGGATGTATTCTGTTATTCTTTTTCTAAATATTTGACAGTGACATGATTAAGTGCAGATTTCTTTTTTTTTTTTTTCCTCCTTTAGATTGTTCAGCTTCCTCAAACTGTTTTGTTTTCTTCTGGCAATTCAAAAAATTCTTAATTCTTAATTCTCAACATACTGATGCTTCCTAACTTTCTCTAGTATCTGTCTCCTTCTGGAACTTCAGTTAGTACTCTGTTAGACTTTCTCATTCCATACTCTGTGTCTCTTAACATCTGTTTCATATTTTCTATTCATCTAGATAATTTCTTCTGATCTATATTATTTTCACTAATTATATCTTCAGTTCTTTCTATTCAGCTATTTAATCCAGTCATTGAGTTTCTAAGTTTTATTATTATTTGTATTATCATAAGTTTTATTCTTTCTTTTTTAGATCTGCCTGGTAATTTTTTATTCTCTATTTTCTGTCTTGTCTTTTATTTTTTTCATATGCGAAACAGAATTACTTAAAATGTTTTTAGATATAGAACATTTCAAACATACAAGGAGAATAGTGTGGTGAACCCTTCTGCCCATCGCTCTGCTCCAGTAATTATCAACTCATTGCTAATCTTGTTTCATCTATACCTCCATGCACTCCTCACCCCATCCCCCAGATTATTTTGAAGCACTCAAAGGCATTATATTATTTCATCTGTAACTATTCCAGTGTATGTATCTAAAAAATAAGAACTTAAAAAATATAATTACCCCCCCAAAATTAACAGTAATTCTCTCAGTAAATGGTCAAATTTCCCATTTCTGAATTTAAAAGTATTTTTTCAAGTCATGAGTCAGATAAGGACTATAAATTGGACTTCACTGTTATCTCTAAGTCCTTTGTAATCTGTAGTCTGTAGGTATCCTTTTTCTGTCTTTTTTTTTTTTAATGCAAAGTATATTTTATAGAAGCCAGGCAGTTTGCCCTGTGAAGTTCTATAGACTGGATTTTGCTGATTACTTCCTGTGGTATTGCTTAACATGTTTCTCTGTCTCCTGTATTTCCTCCAAATTGATGATTAGATCTAGAGACTGAGTCAGAATAATGCCTGGATTTTTGTTAACAGAATACTTCATAGTATTGCTTTCTTCCATTGGGAAGTATATAAAGTGTGGTCATTTTCCTTTTGTGATATTAGCAACTATTGATGCTCATTGCCTAGTTCCATTGTTCCATTACATTTTACAACATGATGGTATTCTAATTCTATTATTGCTTCTTTATTTATTACCTATACTTCTATAAAGAGAAACCTCTTCTCATCAATTATTTAGTTAGACCCTCAAATATAATTTATAATTTAGAAATCAGAATTTGAGTGCAAGAAGTGCTTATTTATCCTGAGTGGGTTGTTGTTTCTGGGCCTTTTTAGTAAGCAGAGGTAGGAAATAATGTGTTTTGTTAGTTTGGTTTGTTGTGGTTTTGGTTTATTTAGAGATAAAATATACTGTAAGTCCATGCTGATACTTCCAATTCAGATTAAGGACTTCACATTTTTACTTATCACCATGATGTAAAAACTTCAAGGTTTTTGCTTATCATCATCATGTATCTTCTTCTTTCTGTATCATCTTTCTCCCCTGTTGATAATTCCAATTCTCTGTTGTACCTACTACATAATTACTCTACAGTATATATGTAGTGTTGATAAAACAGCATTCCCAACAAAACAGTAGTTCAATTAGTGCAAATGAAGATTTTTGAGTTCTTTTAAAATCTTTAGTATAACTCATTAGACATGGTCAAATTCATGTATTAAAGGAGTTTTCTGTATTAAATTTCTACATTAAAGTTCTTTCTTTGGTCATGTCACCATTCTTACCTGTTTGACAATGCTGGAATATACTACAATAAGCCTGTATATATTTGTAAATTATTATAAATGTAGATATGGAAAGAATTGCTGAGGGATAAACAATATTCTGACTGAAAAAACAGATTTTATTCAAGTCATTTAGAGGAACAAAAAATACAATTTTTAGTTTAGAGCTATTTGCATTCTAAAGTATGACCAAAATAAACTCTTAAAAAATCATGAGTAGAGTTTTTCTTGTTTAAAAAGAGGAGACAAAAAAAGACCTACTTAAAAAATAAAATCCAGGCATTATTTTACCATTCCTTTACCTTAAATTTTTTTTTCTTTAATTTCTCTTACTATCATTCCTAATACCATTCCTCTATCTTAAAAATTTTACTTTCCTAAAACCTAGCATATTTACAATGTTTTTGCTTGCCTTTTTAAAGAGAGGTGCTATCACAGGACCTTTAAAAATGTGTTTGGCTTTTACTCTTAACTTTCTGATGTATTTTACATTTGAAATGTTGTTTTCTAGGAAAGGAAAGAATAAACATTTTTTTTTACTGTTGTTTGTATGACATTTAATCATCAATTTGATTTTAAAGAATGAGCTTTTAGATTAAACCAAAGTTGGGTTTTTTACAGGTCCCTGAATGATGTGACTTTATCATTGTTAATGGATCAAGCCCATGACTCCAGATTTCGGCTTCTTAAGTGTCAAAATAGAGTAATTAAGTTGAGTACAAATCCTTTCCCAGCACCATACTTGAAGCCAGATGAAATAGGATTGGAAGCAAAAAGGGTCAAGTTGACCCCTGATAGCAAGAAAGAGGAAAGCTTTGTTTGTGAACACCCATCTAAGAAAGAGTGTGTACAGATAATTACTGCTGTAACATCTCTTTCACCACTTTTAGCATTCAGTAAATTTTGTTGCACTGTACTGCTACACATTATGGAGAGAGAAAGTGGTAACTGTCCCAAAGATCGTTATGTTGTGTGTGGCAGAGTGTTTTTAAGTCTAGAAGATCTTTCAACTGGGAAGTACCTACTGACGTTTCCAAAGAAGAAACCTATAGGTAATTTTGTTGGCACTTTTAGATTATATATTTAATTGAATTAGAAAATTTTAAGAATTCTGTTTATCTGATAATGGACAGAGTTTAATGATAGAGCTTGTGACTTTTTTTGTAGAGCACATGGAAGATCTGTTTGCACTTCTTGCAGCATTCCACAAATCTTGTTTTCAAATCATGTCACCTGGCTATGCCCTGAATTCAATGAAGGTGTGGCTCTTAGAACATATGAAATGTGAAATAATCAAAGAATTTCCAGAAGTGTACTTTTGTGAAAGGCCGGGAAGTTTCTATGGGACACTCTTCACCTGGAAACAGAGAACACCATTTGAAGGGATTTTAATAATCTATTCCAGGTAATGCACATTAAATTGTAATCAGTCCAGAGAAGTTAGTGTGTTTGAATGTGATCAATGTGTGGTTCAACAGCGATCTGCATGGGTTTTGTATTATTGCCATGGCTTAGCATGAATGGACACATTGGCTTCATTTAGAAACTGAAGATCTCTGCTTTAATTTTATATTTGTTTTTGGCTTTTTTTAGTGCCTAGTAATTATTTTGAGATTTCCTGTTACCTCTCTGCCACAGTAAAATTTTTAAAAATATTATATTGACCTTATTACTCAGCAAAAAAAAATTTAATTGGAAACAATCTGATTAATATTAACTGACTTGATATGGGATATGTATATTTGATTGCTGTAGTCTGAATTTTATCAATTCTCACATACGTAATTGGTTCTGTTTATCATTATGGTGTTTATAAATATTAATTGATTACTGCAGTATATTGTACATGACTGCTTTGTGCTGTCCTAATTTTTGTAATATTTTGTTTGGTTTTTTATTTTAGGAATCAAACAGTTATGTTCCAGTGCCTTCATAATCTCATCAGAATTCTCCCTATAAACTGTTTCCTCAAAAATCTAAAATCAGGAAGTGAGAATTTCCTAATTGATAATATGGCATTTACTTTGGAGAAGGAACTAGTCACCCTTAGTTCTCTTTCTTCTGCCATAGCTAAACATGAAAGCAATTTTATGCAGAGGTGTGAAGTGAGCAAAGGAAAGAGTAGTGTCGTCGTGGCTGCTTTATCCGACAGAAGGGAAAATATCCATCCCTACAGAAAAGAACTTCAGAGAGAAAAGAAGAAAATGTTGCAAATGAACCTAAAAGTGAGTGGTGCCCTTTACAGGGAAATAACTTTAAAAGTAGCTGAGGTTCAGTTGAAATCAGACTTCGCTGCACAGAAACTGAGTAATTTATAATTATAATTTCAATTTGATCATATTTTAAAATATGTTTTCACCACCATATAAGATTTTGGTTCTACTTGCTATATGCCTCCTTTGTAAAAATAAACACCGAGGCTTACTGTAGTAGAATCTTTAGTTTTGATGATGCACAAAATAAACAGCAGCGGTTCTCAACTAGGGCCATTTTGTCTCACTCTCCTCTACCCCTAAGGGGCATTTGGCTATGTCTGGAGATATTTTTTTTTTTGGTTGTCAGAAGTTGTGGGGTCAGGAAGGAGTGAGGCACAGGTGCTGTGGGAGGAGACCAGAGATGCTGCTAAACATCCTACTATGCAAAAGACAGCCCCTTACAACAAAGAATTATCTAGCCCAAAATGTCAGTAATGCAGAGGTTGAGAAATCCTGTCTTAGAGTTACTTAAGTGAAGACTGAAGTGGCATAATAGTATTTTGGTCTAAATCTTTTAAAAACTTCATTTTTTTTCTTGCTTTCTGCTTAGTAAAACCTAGCATGTAAAAATCAACTTCAAATAGATAAATTAAGCAAGGTTGTAAGGATCCACAAGTTTCTGTAAATATCAATATTTCTCCTACAAAAATTTAAATGGCAGATTGTCTGGGCGAAACCTTTAAAATGAAAGTTTTTGAAACCCTTGTCAATTTGAATGTTATTACAAAGCTGCCCTGAAATCATGTAAGTCTATAAGAATGTAAAAATTGTAAGGCATTTTTCAGAAAAGCATATCTCTTTCAAAAGGCTGAGTATACTTTACAGGCCACTGTTTAAAAACCAAAAAAATGAAAATGCTTTTAAACTATCTGAAATTCCAACTCTAAGCAAAATTAAATTATAAAATTCTAACTAAAGTAACGTAAAGAATATGGTACTCCTTAGGGACTGAGAAATTTAAAAATAAATGAAAATTCACTTCAGTTAAGAAGTGATTTATAAGGGGTCCAATGAGATACATTTCAAAGGGATAAATATTCAAGCTAGTCTTTTCTTTGAAAAATAAGAATTCTGGATTAATAAGAGAGCTTCAGGAGAAAGAAAAGACGCAAAAGGATACGGGCCAAAATAAATATTCCTGATCCTTTTTGCTCTAAAATCCTTAAGTGAGATGCAAGTTTCCATCTCAGTTGAAGGAAAGAAAGATGATTATAGAATGTAGCATCTTGTGCTTGTAGCTGTGAAGTGCTATTTCTGTCATGCCTTACAAATGCTTATACCTAATGATCTTGTGATGCACATGATTTTTAGAGAATATAGGTTATTAGTTTCTTGTCTTGGTTTTTATGATGGTACATATAATAAGGGACCTACTTTCCTAGTAATCCATTGCAAATTGAGATAGAACTCTACAGTTGTATTCCTGTGAAATGTCAATGGAAAATATTTCAGACTTTCTCCAAATGGAAATGGAATAAATTCAGGATTAATTGTAGAAATCTGGAAAGAATATATGTCATGTGCTATCTGTTGAAACTGCCCATGACATGTTCTGAAAGAACAACCAAATGTAAAATACAGGAAGTAAATTGTAAAGTAGAAGTGGTGAAAAAACTAAACAGTCATGTTAGTAGAGTTGCTTAGAAAAAAAAAAAACAGGATTTAATTGTAATAGTTTATGTGTAGGGAAGTTAAGATACTAAAAATAACATATTGCTTATTTTTTAATTATCAATGCAACCAAAAGATACAGATATGCCAAATAACTTACTAGTTAATTTTGTACTCCAGTATTTTTTTTTTAACTTACTACAAACTAGAAAAGCCAAAGTTGAAGAAATGACACTCTTGCAACTTTGATGATTCAGTTGTCTCTTTGCATCTACAAGCGTATTTTATTGACTACTGCCCTGGTCACAACTCTGAGACTCCTCTCAAAAACACAGTCCTCCCAAATCCACACTGCCAAGTTGAAAGTGAATTGTGTTTTGGAATGTAGCTAAGGAGATGCATGAAAACACCTTGATCCTGTACTCTTGTTGCAAATTATTTCAAACACTGTAGACCCTTTAAGAATTCTAATAGTACACAAGTGAATCTCTTATTGTCCTCAGAGCATCTCTTTATACCATGTAGAATTGACTACTCATTTTTTTCTAGTGTTAGAAAGAAAAAGATGCTATTAACTTACATCTCTCCCTGCTCTCCCCAGAAGAAACAAAAACTTCCAACTCTCTTGGCTAGAAACCTGTGTAAAACTTTGCTTTCTTTTTCCTTTTTGCCTAAAACTTGGACAGTATCAGAAACTGAGAGGATTCTATTTTCTTCCTTGTCTTCTAAATTACAAAGATGTTACTTTCCACTCTAAGAATTTGGGAGTGAAACATCTTTCTTGTGTAACCCATCTGAAGAATTTTAGGCTTCTGCTAAAGACAGTGTGGTACAATGGAAAGAATGCTGATACATAAACAGTATTCTTAATTCTTCAAGGGTTTGTTCTGTTTTCCATTTTTGGACTTTCTGTATTTGTTGCTGTATTGCTTTACTGCCTCAACAAAATAGCCCTGTCCTGTAAGATCCTACTATGATGAATATCCTTGCAATGCTAATGGTCTGGTCACTTTCTAGGGCCTTATTTCAATGATCCTGCCTTTCCTTTTTATTCAGAAGGGTGTCATACTATTCAGGTCCTGAACTTTAGTAAGGGCGGTAAATCAGACCCCTACCATGCTTTGACTATTCAGATTTTTTTGCTGTGCTACACCTGTGAGCACCTATGCTGGACAAAAGTACCTGTGTGCATAACTGTGGCTCGTGATAGCCTTAGGTTCAGCTAGAAAGTTTCTTTAGCATCCTTAACTTTAATTATTCATTTCCCCACAGCAACAGCCACTTATCACTAAATGTACAAGCAGTGCTATGGTCAGTAAAGCATGCTATTAGTAATCAGTCAAAATATTTAACACTAGATAGCAGGTCAGTCAGGAGAGAGACGTGCAGTCTATTGATTACCTTTTCCACATCTGTTTCACTCTTTTTCTTACTGAAACTCTCGTTTTGTCCAGGGAACTTCCTTTCCCATAGTTCATGTGATTGGGGAGGTGAATCCCATCCCTAGTTCCAGAGATTAGTCCTGACTAATCTAAGCCAGTTAGTGCAAGACCTTTCCCTGGCAGCTGTTATTGATCTGGGGTAGACACAAGACCTAAATGGGTCTAATCAGACTGAGGGGAAGGGCTTGGTTCTTTCTGAGAAAAAGACTATGTTGGACTGAAGGTAGGTGGCCCTTATTTAAAAGTTGAGAGTTACCTTATAATCACAAGGCAATCAAGGCTTAGAATGAAATTGACACAGTAGAATGCAAATTTTTTTTATTGTTGTACCCCAGAATCAAATCTAAATCTCACCCTTTTCCTGGACTGTCAATTACTTAAAAAAAATTCCTTGGCCAGGAGTAGTAGCTCACACCTGTAATCCCAGCACTTTGTGGGAGGCCGAGGTGGGTGGATCACCTGAGGTCAGGAGTTTGAGACCAGCCTGGCCAACATGGTAAAACCTCATCTCTACTAAAAATAAAAAAATAGCCAGGTGTGGTGGCACACGCCTATAGTCCCAGCTACATGGGAGGCTAAGGCGGGAGAATTGCTTGAACCCTGGAGGCAGAGGTTGCAGTGAGCCAAGATTGCGCCACTGCACTGCACTCCAGCCTGGGTGACAGAGTGAGACTCTGTCTCAAAAAACCTGGGTGACAGAGTGAGACTCTGTCTAAAAAGGGGGGAAAATTGATGAAACCCGGGGGGGAGGGGTTGCAGGGACACAAAATTCCCCCCCCGCCACACACCCCACCCGGGGGAAAAACGGAAAAATTATCAAAAAAAAAAAAAAAAAAAAAAAAAAAAAAAAAAAAAATTCCCTTGTAACAGAACTCAAGGTTTCCATTACTTGTAGTTAAAATTGTTTCTAGCTGTTAAAAATGGGAAAAAGAATCCCAGAGAACAAAGCATGGGGAGTCCCAGGATAGAAACAGTTTATTACAGAAACAGGATGCTTTTACCTTAAAAAGAGTAGTAAAGAACCATCCACTCACCACCCCCATATGCCCCTTTTATTTCTGGGCAGTGGTTTGCTTTTTTTCTTTTTGAGTTTATAATTCAATTTATTATATACTTGATAGTAGTATATACCTGAAAATAGATGCTTTAATTATTTTTTGTATCTTCTTTTCTTTGTTCCTTAGCTTCTCTCTGGTATTACATGAGGCCAGTTGATTTATTATACCTTCTTCATTGGGTAGAAGTATATGTCAGATTATTTAACTTGTTTCTCAATATTTCATATTTTAGAATATAAAATTATAAATGTAAGGGCCATATCTGTCTAGTGTGTTTCTTAGATATCTGAATTCAGACTTTCAGTTCTCATTTCTTTATTTCTTTCCTTTTTTTTTGAGACAGGGTCTTACTCTGTCGCCTAAGCTAGAGTGCAGTGGCCTGATCTCGGCTCACTGCAGCCTCCGCTTTCTGGGTTCAAGTGATTCTCCTGCCTTAGCTTCCCAAGTAGCTGGGACTACAGGCGCATGTCACAATTGCTGGCTAAGTTTTGTATTTTTAGTAGAGATGGGGTTTCACCATGTTGGCCAGGCTCATCTTGAACTCCTGACCTCAGGTGATCCGCCCTCCTTGACCTCTTCCCAAAGTGCTGGGATTACAGGCGTGAGCCACTGTGCCCAGCCTCAGTTCTCATTTCTCCTGACAGCCATTCTCATGTTCTAGCTATATCCTCTCCAGTAGGAAGAGAAGGAAATCTTTATCGATTTATATTGTTCTGGGAATCTTTCTGCTAGAAACAGCTGGTTTAATGTCATGGGACTGTTTAGGAAATAGGATATTATTGCTATATGAAAAGAGATGCACAGTATTATTAATTAGAGCTTATAACCTTTTCAATGATAGCATATACGTGCTAAAACATGAGTAGTTGCCTTTTAGTATATACTAGGAAACAAAAGATAACCTTTCTAACTTCATCTAACCTCATTAAAAAACAAGGTGATTATAATTTTAGTAGGTTTTTTTATGAGCCTAGTGAGATGTTTTAAGATTTAGAATGACTGAGTAATCTGGTTATGTCAAGTACAATAATAAAATCATCTTACAAATTATCCCAATAGGAAATCAATATGCTTTAATACTTGAAAGATTCTGGTAAAAGTAGTAAAAACATTGGGGGTGGGATGGGGGTGGGGGGTAATGGTGGTGGTAGAATGTGAAGGAGACCAGGATCAAATGTGTTCTTAGTAGTATGCAAAATCTTAAGAAAAACTCAACATGCAGCACATGCGTTAGGCCCAGGAAGGGTGGGTAGGGCTTGGTGTGCAGGCTAGTCAGGTGTTTCCTGAAGCCGGTGCCAGCTGGAAGGGGAATTAGTCAGTAAATATAAATAGTAGGAAAAAGAATTATCCACAAGATTTAGGAAAAGTGTTAAAGAAAATTATAACCCATACTCGCATATCCATTTTCTATGACATGGTGCATAATATCAATAGTGAATATTTATTGATTATTGTGTGCCAGACATTGATCTGAATGCATAGCCCATGTGATCCTTACAACCCTATAAAACTGTGCTTCCCAGGATAGTAGCTATGAGTCATATAGGACTATTTATATTTAAATCAATTAAAATACAATCAGTTTATACATTTAGTACCTTAGTTGATCCTAGTCACATTTAAGCTGCTCAGTAGCCACATAAGGCTGGTGGCTACCATTTGGTCACTGCAGAGAACATTTCCATAATCACAGAAAGTTATATTAGGCAATGATGTTATAAAATGTATACTGTTAACTATCTCTATTTATTGATAAATAAATTGAGACTGAGACAGGTTAAATAATATATGCAAAGTCACATAGCTGGTAAGGAACAGAGCCAGGATTCTAATCATCCAGTCTAGCTACAGAACCTTTGCTCTTTCACCACTATGCTATTCTGTGTATAAAGTCAATTTGTAATAAAACACTATCATGTCTTGACAGTTTTATATTACCAAAATGTATTTTTTGTTAAAAAGGGAAAGTCACATGTAATACACAATTCTATAAAAGTATAAATCTGTTAACATAATTGAATTGTCACGGAGAATGTGGACCACATCATCCTAAATCCTGTAATGAACAAGTTATTAGAGTTGGTTGATGGCCCCAGCTGAGTTTTATCTCTTGACTACTTCCCTCCAATTATGTCTAAATACCTGTGTATCTGTTCCCTATTTCCTCTCAGTTGTCTTTGTTAGAACCACCAGTCTCCAGAATTATTGCATTACCATTGCTGGTTCGTGTTTTGGGGATTTTTAAAATGAAAGTGTCAGTTCTCTAAATAGCCCTTTATGTAGTTTCTCTTTGAGACATGTCTAGGTCCTGAGAATCTCTGAAGTGTTTGTCAGTGGCTGGTGATCACTGCTGTTGAGGGCTTGGGATTCCAGGGAAAGGTACAAGGTGTCTAGCCAGAAAGATTTACATCTTTATTCTCTATGAGTACTATAGCACTTGTGAAGAAAAGGAGGTAGAATTCTGTTTTCTATTTGTACCCTTTGCCTGCTCTAATCATTCCAAATGATATGCCTATAGAAAACATTTCACCTCTTGCAAATTATCAATAGTGTACAAAGTGGAAGGGAATATAGAGATCTTTTATTCAATCATGTGTCTATAGAGGTTTCATTGAATACATTCTCATGCACATCTAGGTGCCAAAGATAGATAAATTTAAGACTCTTCTTGGTTTTCAAAAAGCTTGCAGAGTTGTAGGTGACACTGAGGTAATTAACACAAAGTTTTACTGCAGTTCCATGGGAACACCCTTATAGGGCACTATACCCAGTAGGGATACCCTCTGAGAGCAGGAGTTCTTAATTTTGGATAAGAGGACTCTTTGGGGTTCTGACAAAAGCTGAGGAGTTCATGTTGGGGCAGTTGTAAGATTAAAGTGGTATTTTAATGTCGTGGTGTTTTACCTCATCATTTAGAGAGAATCTCAGAGAAAAATGTCTACACAAAGAAGTCCAAACCAAAGCACTTTGAATAGCAAAAAGGGGTCTAAAATATTTAAATCATGATTTTGAAGTATTTCTTGATTGAAAATTTGGTTTATTTTATTGGGGAACTGTAAAATAATTATATTTAAAGCTTTTTAGAATAAAATTTGTTGTAAAAATTTAAATAACATATGCATGTACATTAAAGCAAATAACTTTTAAAAAGTGATTATCTGAATTATTTTGCCCTATTTATTGTAGTTGAAAAAACATTACATTTATCCTAACAATTTTTAAGCATATAGTTCAATAGTGTTAAGTATATTCATGTTGTTGTATAGCAGATCTCTAGAACTTTTTCATCTTGCAAAACTGAAACTGTATACCCATTGAGCATTAGTTCTCTCTCCCTCTTCCACCAGCTCTTGGCAACCACCTTTCTACTTTCTATGATTTTGACTACTTTAGATACTTCATATGAGTGGAATCATATTTATATTTTTGTACCTGGCTTATTTTACTTAGCATAATGTCCTTGAGGTTCATTCGTGTCATAGCTTGTGACAGTATTTCCTTCTGTTTACAGCTGCATAGTATTCCATTGTATGCATATATGACATTTTGTTTATCTGTTTATCTGTTAGACATCTAGGTTGCTTCCACTTCTTGGCTGTTGTGAATAATACTGCAATAAACATGGGTGTGCAAATAATTCTTTGAGATCCTATTTTCAGTTCTTTTGGCTATATACACAGAAGTGAGATTGCTAGATCATATGGTAATTTTATTTTCAATTTTTCGAGAAACCTCTGTACTATTTTTAATAATAACTGCACTATTTTGCATTCCCACCAACAGTATACAAGGATTCCAATTTCTCTGCATCCTAACACTTGTTATTTTCTGTTCTTTTGATAGTGGCCATCCTAATGGGTATGAGATAATGAATTATTTTGCCTTTAAGAGACCCTGGGCAGCCTTTTGAGTTTCCAGTTCAGTCACTTTTTTTTCCTCTACATCAGTGGTTCTCAAAGTGTGGTCCTGGAGGAACAGCGTCAGTAACATCTGAAAATTTATTAGAAATGCTAATTATTGAGCCTTACCTGAAACCTGCTAAATCAGAAATTGAGAGTTGGGCATGGTAATCTGTATCTTAACAAGCCCTCTAGGTTATTCTGTTGCACACTCAAGTTTGAGAACTGCTGCTTTACACTAATAATTCTCAGCCACAGTTGCATATAAGAATCACCTGCCCAGGTGTGATTCTGTCCTGTGCGGCTGTTCTCTTGAGTGGGGTCGTTTGTCTCTGTCCGCCTTCTCTCCCACCTAAGTGTGTGTAGCTACCCAATGGAAGATTCGATGGACGTGGACGTGAGCCCCCTGAGGCCCCAGAACTATCTTTTCGGTTGTGAACTAAAGGCCGACAAAGGTGATCACTTTAAGGTGGATAATGATGAAAATGAGCACCAGTTATCTTTAAG